AGGTAGTTTAAGCCACTATTTACAGACACATAACTTCACAAGACTAAACCAAAGGCATTTATTAAAAAAAAAAAAAAACTGCAATATAAAATAGCCTCAGTGCTCCTCTAATAATAACTTCTGTGGTCCAGAGAACCACAGGCCAGAGTCAGAAACTCCTGGGTTTTATTCCTCACCCCTCCCAGGCTAACTGTAATGCTGCAGAGAGATTATTTTAGTCCATAGTGCTTTTTCATCAGCATAACAACAGTTATGCAAGCGAAAGTCAGCTGAAACAGTAAAGCTCTATTTACTCATCATTAACCGTTGCCCGCTGGAGGAACAGGGGCCGGGCTTTTCCTCTCTTAGTCACCCTTCTCCCTCAGGGAAGTTTCCAAACACCACTGCTGAGGCAAGCGCTACGGTGGCTCCTCTTCAGCAGCCCTGGAGGCACCGGCAGTGAACGGGGCTGGGGGAAGACCCATCCCCTTCAGCTGCTCAACTCTATTCACCCTACACACAAGTTCAGCAGCAGAAGCCCAATCCTGTCCATTTTTTTCATGTGGCTGAATAACATAATAGTACTCCCTTGTGCTTCATTTTTTAAGTCAAAACACTGGCTTGGATTGCACACTGTATTAATTTGGGCTTACTCATCCTTGCTCCCTTTCCGGCCCATAGGAAACATCACTCACTGGTCATTTCGGAAGCGCAGAATGGCAGGAGATGTTAAGTCAAGATTAGATATTAGACCAAGAAAAAGTGGCGCCAGTCGAGCCATGAATCGCACGGAGGGTGAAATGAGAGCGACGTGGGCCAGCAGCAAGGGACACTGGGACCCGCTGGGCCCTTCGGACACTGCGGAGCAGTCTCGAGTGTCCCTGGCAGGGGCGGGCAGGGACAGGGGGAAGGAACCCGCAGCTGCAGCCGCTGGGCAGGGCAGCACCCAGGCCCACAGGCGAGAGCGGCCGCTGTGCACACTCTGCTAACGCAACCCGTGCGTTTAACCCCTTCGGCGGCGGGCATGCTGCATAACGTTTGTTTACTGACGCTTTCTCCTGAACTCTGACCCCGCTGTGATCTCTATAACCATTTTAGCGAGCTGCCAGAGGCAGCGAAGTCAGTGCAGCCGCCCTGCAGAAACAAGGCAGTGGCTCAGGCTCCCTTTGTGGTTACTCAGAGCGAGAAACTGCACGAGTCTAAGAGCTCCTGGGGCTCCAAGTCGTGAACTTCATTACGTTCTTCCTAAGGCAGTAACTGTTCTGGGATGCGGGGGCTGTCGGCTCCCGCACACCACGCACACGTTACACACAAGGGTGACCAAGCACTGGGGGTCAAGAGCTTCCTTGCTGGGCCAGGGCACACAGCAACTCTGCCAGGGGTTGCACTGCTGACCAACCATCATGTAAGCAGGGCAGCTTTGCTTTCTCCCGTTTACGGATAAGTGGAGGAAGCAGGAAACTTTATCACGTTACAAGTGTTAACAAATGTTAAACCTACGGACACTAAGATCTGTGAAAAGAATGAAAAGCTGACAGGGACTTCTGACAGACACAGCTCTACTTGTACGACAGCAGCATGGGGGCACCAGCCACGAAGGGAACCGAGGGCAGGCGCTGCACGGGGATTGGGGAGTTGTTCTGCAGAGCGGGACGATGCCCCCAGCGCTGCAGAGGAACGGGAGCCCTGCAGAGAGCCCACGGCGCAGGGGCAGCAGCAGCCGGCCAGCGAGTGTGGCCAGGAGCAGCGGACACCGAACAGGGCGGGAAGAACCACAGCGGGACGCACGGGAGCAGGAGGAGCTTGACACTGGGCAGGGCAGGAGGAATGGCAGCGGGGACATGCAAGAGCAGGAGGAGTGTGATACCAGGCAGGGCAGGAGAAATGGGAGCGGGACACCAAGCAGAGCGGGAGACACGGCAGCGGGACACGCGGGAACGCGGAGAGCAGCAGGAGCGGGGCGCGCAGGACGCGCGCGAACGGGAGAAACAGCAGCGGGGCGCGCGGGGGCGGCGGGGTTGCAACGAGCTCCCGCCGGGCACGGGCGGC